GACCGGGACACCATCAAAACATGACCGGGACACGATCACAACATGACCGGGACACCATCAAAACATGACCGGGACACCATCACAACAAGACCGGGACACCATCAAAACATGACCGGGACACCATCACAACATGACCGGGACACCATCAAAACATGACCAGGACACCATCACAACAGGACCGGGACACCATCAAAACATGACCGGGACACCGTCACAACACGACCGGGACACCATCAAAACATGACCGGGACACCATCACCAACAGGACCGGGACACCATCACAACATGACTGGGACACAATCAAAACATGATCGGGACACCATCACAACATGACCGCGCCACCATCACATGATCGGGACACCATCAAAACATGACCGGGACACCGTCACAACACCACCGGGACACCATCAATACATGACCGGGACACCATCACAACATGACCGGGACACCATCAAAACATGACCGGGACACCATCACAACATGACCGGGACACCATCAAAACATGACCGGGACACCATCAAAACACGACCGGGACGCCGTCCGCCCACCAGCTCTGACGGTGACCCGACGGCGCCCGTCCACCTATTAGTTTTGCAAGACCCCATAGCATGGCTATTGGGGAATTGGAAACTATGTATACAATCAAGTTAAACATGTTCTCTATCGCTCCCAGCGAACAGTTCTTCTGCCCAGAACTTGTGCCTGGTCTCTTAATCGCATTTTTGGGCCAGAGCCATTCTTGCGCCAGTCCTGGTGAAAAGAGGGTCCCTCACAAAACCATGTTTCTGTCAGTTTGCGTGTCTGTGGATTTGCATTGCAAAACTAGAAGACTGGGCAATTCAAACATCAGCTGTGACAAGTGCGTTCAAAGACCGAGCCGCATGCACCATGAGGTAGGAATGCTGATTGTGAGTGATTTCAAGAAGTCAAGCACCAATGAAGCCGGCGGCAAACGGCCAAGGGCCAGTTTCGGCTCCCGATTCGGCCATCATGAATCGAACGAGGTCGGCCCGGTCAGCTCAACGTCCTCAAAAGCATTCATCTTCTTGTCGTCAAAGACCACACGATCACGCTTGCGAAGCGTCCTGCAGGAAAGCGTGCTGAATCTTTGTGATCAATACTTGTGGACTCCAACCTTTGTGACTGCACTGCTTCAATCAAAGTAGGGACACTCTTTGGCATGTCAGCGTTTTCATGCCTCGTACAAACATTGATTTCTGTGCGCAAACAAAGATACTGCAACACTCCTCGTTGTCTCGGATTTGTCTGGTAGACAAAGCTGAGATGAAACACAAATGAAGGGTTGTCCATCTGCAGTGAAATCTGTCTATTCTCGTCCTTATCGTTCAGGCATAGAAGCAACGCTGAGGTCTGTAAATCTCCCAATCCCCCCCTCACAACCGTCTCCTTAAAGCCCAGGAAGACTTTCCTTCGGTGCCCTGGATGGAAAATAGCACGGGCACCCTCCTGGTCGTGCTTGCGCTTTGGGGAGCATGTCCAGTCCCCTCACAGTTGCGTTTCTCGTGCCAAACCCCCACACCCGACACCGGATTTCCGTAAAACAGACTTCCCCACAGGCCGGCGAGAAGAGGCGTCCGGATGCGGCACATTCGTTGATTCTCCACTCGAACAGTCCAATGAGAGTTATGAACAATGACCTGCAGAATCTCCTGCAAAGACACAAAGCGCAAACCAATGATCACGTCAGCTTAACAAAACTTCCTTCCTACTCACGTCAGCTTGAAGGCAATGCATGCCTCTCAGGCATTTAAACCACGTGAAAAGTTGCACAGCAAATGCGAGAAAGACCTGGTAGATAGCTAGGAAGGCAAGGCAAGCAAGTAGCAAGGAAGCAAATGCGAGCGTTGCAGAAAAAGTGGGGTTCTGGAGGGGAACTCCTTTCGGAGAACGAGAGAAGCTTCAGAGGAAGACCCCTTGGCGACGGAACGGTTCCTAGAATTTTGGAAATAGAAAATAGGCGATGCACTTGTTTCTAATAGCGAACCTTGTTACTACTAGTAAGGCACTTGTTACTACTAGCGTGGCACTTGTTACTACTAGCGTGTAACTACCCAAGTTGCATAATAAGTTACACGAGTGGAACTAAGATTGCAATCTTGTGAACTTGTATCGGTTGTCTCAGCTTGGCAGGATCGGGGACTTGTGTGGTTCCTTGACTCAATGAAGGGCTTCTGTCGTCGGCTGGACTCCCGATACTCCTTTGGTTGGAAACAGCTGGGACACCGTGTCATCCCGATTAAACTCGACGGGTCTTTGTTGTTTTTCCTGTGCTGTGGCCTGTGGCTGTGGCACAGCCGCATATGCACCATATCCTCTGATTCTTACCCCTGCGTGGTTGGGGCTAGTAATCTGCTTTCAGTGGCCAATACTTCACAAGGTGTTCGCAGAAAAGATCGTTAGAAGAATTTGGGCATGATCCAGCAGGCTCCCCCCACTTTGAGCAGCAGCATCATGCTTGACTTCCTTCAAAGAGTGAGCTGTTTCAGTGAATCTCACATCAGCATCTCTAATTTCTTACAAGTCTTCCTATCACATCATATCCCACCTTGCTGAAGACCAGTTTGGTGTCCGTGGCAGCTCGCTTCTCCGCGGAGATGTGTGGACATAAATGTCACCCCGTGGTAGCTGGCGCAAGAAAGAAGGATCGGATCCAGTCTTTAGAATCCAGCTATATATCTCTGTTCGGGGTGTTTTACTTCATGTGACTTCATGTGGAGAAAGGATATATATATATATATATGCTTGCTTCAAGAAGAAAGACTGAGCCATATCTCTTCACCTACGAACAGTCAGTTTCTATGCAGTGACAAGAATGGAAGGATAGTGCTCCCTCCATCAGCAAGGTGAATGAATCACTTTAAGAATCCACAGTAGCTTAGCTTCAAACCCTATGGGTACACAAGTCCCCCAGGCCTGATGCCTGCTGATCGGTTTAGAGCCTCCAGACAGCAAGCACTTGCACATCAAAGAATCTTCGTCGCAGCCTCGCTTCCTTTGCTCCTAGTAGCTTCTTGCTCCTAGTAGTAAGGCCAGGAGCCCCTAGTAGCGTCCTTGCTCCTAGTAGCGATGCCCTTTGCTCCTAGTAGCTTCTTGCCTGATCCGCTCAAGGAGGAGCTGGTTGACCTGAGTCGGACGACACCTTGGGCCGAGGGATTGACGAGACCAGCATGTTTGACGCATCGAAGCCCCGTGGCCCTGGCCAGGAGGAAAGGGTCTGTGCCTGGCCACGCTGCATGACACCCCATGGTCTGAAATCAGCGCTACATGCTACAAGCACTCGATCATGATCATCCTGTAACACAGACTCTGCTCGTCAGAAGTTGGTTTTAAGGAAAGGGTGCAGATGTTGCAGCAAAAAGTATGGGAACAGCTACACAAAATGACGATCTACATCACCCTTCGACACAATCGCTGAGGCTACGACTGACATAGAGCCATATCCCTACGGCAAGCAAAGGCACAGGTCACAGCTTCTGGTGGTGGCAAGCTTGCTCTTTGGTGCGAGTCCGATCAAGATCCAACTCGAATTCGCTATTCACAGGATACATTCAAATGCTTTTCGCCATACAGTATTTCAAATGCAGGAAAATCGACCACCGCAATGGCCTTCTCCATGAAGGTAGAAGACGCAGTACTGTGCAGCAAGCAGGAGAATCAGGAGAGGGGAAAGCTTGCAGGATGCTCAAGCCTTTGGGCCTTTAGTCACCAAAAGCTGGGATTGAGAGAGATTGAGAGAGAACGTGAGCTCCCCAGACCTTTACATGTGACAATTGCTATTACAGCGAGGTGAATCCTTCAACTTGCTTCAATAGCTGCTCCACATCCACCCTCCCCGCCTAGCTGGAAGCTCCCCTATGCTGCTTGGAAAGCTCGGATGCCTCCAAGTCAAGGCATCTCATTTCTGAACATGTCGAGGATCATTTAGCCTGAGCCTAGATCCTGCCATGCAGCATGAACATGCTCCCTCGAAAGCAGAAGCGATGGAAAGTCTGTTCCTCGCAGTGTCACACCTCTGGCCTGCGCAAGCGTTCAAACTCCAAATCTACAGCTGGCGGAAGTCCTGCATGCGGCATGATATCACCCAAGTGTCGCAAAAAACACATTAAAATTCCAATACGATCCTTAGACTCTCTCTCTCTCTCTAAGAGCAAAGCATGTACTCTGCAGAGTACCAAATGATTGAACTTCAAACTCCAAAGCAAATTCTCCTTGATAGAGTCGCTCGTGCGTTGGGAGGTGTAGCCCTTGATCAGACCGTTGGACCACCTTCCGTGGAGTACCCAGCATGCAGCGCCAGGCCTGATTCGGACATGACATGACCAGTGTGTTGATTAAGCGATTTGACTCCGGCATGACATAGACAGCGATTTGTGATGTTGGCACGACCTTAAAAGAAACACTCGACTCAAAAAGCTCCAAGACCTCAGTTTGTTCTCAGCAATACCGAACACTGTGTAACATGGACAACAAGATTGTGTAGTACCTTGCATATTGTTGCTCTTGACAAGCTAAGCCAAGCATTTGTCAAACGAGGAAACACCTTTAAAATGTATCCGTGGCATGATCTCTTATAGACACTCAAGATCTGCATCTAAACCAACTTGTGCTTGAGGAGTGTTTGATTAAGGACCTGATTCAGGTACCAAACTCCTCAAACCAACAGTGAAGAACATATCAAACTCCTCAAACTTAAACAGTTTCTTGGCCATGAACTCTTCCCCTAGATCAGAATCATGTCCTCTGCTCTCTTGTGGAAGTTGATCACAGCAAAGGTTAACACGCACCTGCAATGCCCCAGAACTCGCAGGCCTGAGCATTCGCAAACATCACCTTTTAACAAAACACTAGAGTAGCATCTGTTATACTCTTGCTGACAAGCCATGGAAAAGGCCCTTTGACAATCTCGCGGACAAAATATCCATGTATACATGATCTTCACAACCTGCTTTGGACTGCGTGCAATCAAAGGTCTCATGTTTGCCTGGATACAAATGGTTTAGTGTGAATGGCTCTGCACACTTTTGGATTTGTTTTGCCCCAAGAGTTCTGCGAAACGTTCACGTCACTGAGGAAAGTGCGACAGTTTCGGAAGCGTTGCATCAGCAGCTCGCAACTGCAAAAGAGTATCAGTCACTGCAGATTTGACCACTAGACACGCTCTGCTTGAAACGCACCCAGCACAGGTTGCTAATCTCTGACATAGAGAACTTGACCTTGGGACGCTGTCCTGCCTCCTAGAACCATCAAGCAAGGAGGCAATCACAAAGCTACCGACGTTGGTGTGATGGCCAGGGATACTCTCCCAAATCACAGGTCTCAACAGCTTTCTGCAGAGATTAATCAGTTTGGCATACTCTCCCACGAAGCCTGCCACTCACGCTTGCTCTGCTCTGCGCGCTGTCGCACGTTGCTACTTTTTGGCAAGCCTTGTGCCTTGGCACATGTTGGGGCTGCTCCAATGGCATGCTAGACTCTGCTGTGTAAACGGAATTGCTGCTGCGTTGGGATTCGTCTTTGTGTGGCTATGGGTTTTAGACTCTGGCGCCGTTGTGAAAATCAAGATACCGAACAAACTAGTCACAAGGCGAGTAACGCTTGCCCGGGATGTGAACTGTTGAACCCCCGAAAATGCCTCCATGCAGGTGACTCAAAAGTGTTGCAAAAACGAATGTCTTTTACTGCCCCGGGTACTAGTTCAAGACATTCGTCATGTAGCACCATCAGCTTCTGCCAGAAGTCCAGGCCGATCTCCTCGGACCTCAGTTCATCAACTCGGCTCTCTCGAAAAAGCCCTGAGCTGCTCCAGCAACTTGCATAGCAATCGTTAACACTGCTTTTCCTGCATGTCCAATGTTCGGTATCTTGGGAAAGAGCTTCGGCCCAAGGAATTCCATCTCCAAGGCTTGGCATTGTCTTGACTGCACCTTCGTTTCTTCTCAGCAAGCTTGCTCTAGAATTTGGAAAGCTTCACCGAGGAGTTGCAGAATCCAACATGCAATGAACAACGTCAAGCTGGCGCAGGGTAAATTGGCGTATCCAGCCAACAAAGAAACTAAATGTCTCTAGTTGTGGATGTGGCTGCATTGTAGACTAGAATTTCAGCACAAGTTCAGTGCAGTCACTACCCAAGTATGACTTTAGACAGAACAAAAATTGGTGCACTCGTCGTTGCAAAGCTTTCTGTGGTTTTGAAGCAAAAACATCTTCTGGGATCCCCACAGCCAGCTCCAGCGCACGCTGGAGTAAAGCCAGAGGTGCGGTAAGGCTTTCAAGTGACGCTTCTTGCGGCACATCATCTCCCGTCTCAGCATCTGCCTGCAAAAGCTTGCGCTGGCAAAGAGCGCGGTTGAATATCGAAACACCAGCATGACTGGTCTTTAACTAGCATTTGTGTCTGGAAGCTCTGCGAGATTGTACTGTCAAGGACCTTTTCAGAGTTGTGTTGACATACGCACCCGTCTGCCTCTGGAGCTTCGGGGTAAATCTCCCGAGGCTCCTGGAGACTCAAGAATGGCACCCTTGCAACAAAAACACTGCTGACCTATAGCTCAAACAAGCAACAGACAAAGGAGTCGGTCGCCAATCTTATCAACTATGTGTGTATATATATATATATAAGGTTTTTGCAGGTTGATTGCAACCTAAAGCTCCAGCAATGTCGCACCTCTAGCTGCTCAAGGATGGTGTCCCCTATCTGGACCGCATGCTGGGCAATATCAAGAGCCTCCTCATGTCTGCCAGCCTGGCAAAATTGCTGCTTTGCATGTCAAGAATCTGTTGCCCAAGCCCCAGCAAACATGTTACGTGCAAACCTTGCAGTGTCCCTCCAGGCAAACAGGCGAACCGCTTGCTCCTCCCCGCCACCAGATTTCATCGAAGAAGCCCAGGTTAGGTCACTGCAAAGCTGCAAATACATGTCTCCCACCATCCCCCAGCATCCCTTGCCTGTGACAAGGCAGCACAAAGAAGGATCTGTACCCCGACACCGGCCAAGGCAACCTAGCACTCCAACCACTTCAGGCAAAAAGGAAAGCTCCTTGAACTTGCACATGATTCTTGCTTGTTGGAATCTTGCCCTCTAAGAAATGTTCCTGCCTCGCGATCTGAATCAGCCACAGAGGAAAAAGCCGTTTCCAGCAGCTGCAGGGCCTATGCTTTTCGAAAAAAGACTGAAGAAGCAAGGTCAAAGTTTGAGAGTCATCCAGGTGTTGAAAAGACTGAACACAAACCGCAAGTGACTTAAAATGAGATAGAAAACAGGGCTTGCTAGACATTCCTAGCCTGGTCCACGTGTCCGCACAGAATCAACTTTGATGCAGCCTCGCAAGTATTGCAGTCAGGTCAGGCTGGAACCGTGAGCTCTATGTAGGGTAAGCCAAGTTCAAAGAAATATTATCCGCACTCAGAAGCAATATTGATCTGGAGACATAAACAGACTGTGTATGACTGCCTGCCGTGGAAAAGCCAAATCATTAAACGGTCCTTCAGGGTGCTTAGCTTTCCGTGCCTCAGCGAGTGATTCCAGGGAGCCAAAGAGTGCCTGGCAGAACCCGAAAACAAAGGAACCTGGAAAGAACGACCTGAAAACCTAGGAACCTAGGACCTGAACCTAATCATGTGAAGGGTTTTCTTCAAGGAAGCCACTGACCTTCAGGCTGGGGGGAACTTTCACCCTTCTGTGTCCAGTCCTGGACCATTAGCTACTTACTTAACCTACCTGTTTCTTCTTTCTATTATAGATTATTCTCTTGCTTGAGTTGCCCTCAGCCTTACTTGATTAAGTAGGTGCCTACTTAATTGAGTAAGGGAACCAGCTACTAGGTAATCTGCTACTTAATATGGACGCAGGAAAGCTCATGCTTCTATTCACTTGGTTCCTAAAAATCCCGGCTTGGCTCAGGCTTACCACACATCTTCTTACTCTTCTTACCGGATCTTGGGAAGGTCTTCACGGCCCCTCTTTCTCCTAATCCCCGCACTGGTCTCATATTCTACACCCCTCCAAGAATGAAATCATTTTTCGTTGAGGTTCAGGTTCTTCTCATGATCGAAATGGCTTGAAAGGCTTCCTTTCGATGTTAACATTTGCAAAAGCAGGCAGAAACGCCACCTTGGTCTCTGCAGTCATTTCCTGCCAGTGCAAAAGCGTTAAAACCAACAATGTTTTGGGGCATGTAGTGTTCTGGAAGCTCATAGCCAGAATGTATGCTGACTCGCTGACTGCAGGCTTTCAGCATCCAATTCTACAAATTCCAGTACCTCCTCAAGTCAAGGGCCATCAACATTATTTGCAATTTGTATTTACAGTGTAATAGTAATACTGTATACCTACAGCAGAAACACAGAATTCTGATGGCTGTCCTGGCTGACCTGTGCTTTTGCATTTGAAGGCGACTGCATCTCCAATTCCCTGTCAAGTGGCTTTGCGTATCTGCGCAAAGGATAGGCTATTAGGTCATCCTTCAGCACACTATACATAGATGAATGTGATGAAACCAGCCCAGCCACGTTGCAGCATCCAGAAAGAGGTCGCTCATGCTGCTGACCGACGGCCTCCGGCGCCTTTGCATTGTCAATAATGTCTCTGGCTCCCGTTTCCTTGAGACTCCTTGAGGCTCCACGACACAATTTAGACTGTGACGTCTCATTCTCGTGTGCAAGCTGCGCACCTCTAGCTTTCCATCAAACTAGGGTCTGGGGCAGCAACCCGCCATCGTCTGCAGCAAAAGACACTTGCCTGATTTCGTCCAAGATTAGCTTCTACATGGATCATTGTCACATGATGGGCATCCAGTATCTGAGAACGTCTGCCTAAATAGGCCTCAAAAAACTCTTTCCACCTCCTTTATTGACTATTTCCCTTGTTTCCCTCTGCGACTCCGTGTTCCATTCTGAGTGCCAGCTGGACTGGCTCGAGGTCATCGACTTCAAGCTCCGGCATGAGATCACCTGTCTGTGCTGAAAGTGGTTCGAAAAGGGAAACAAAGAGTAAACCGTAGAATGATACAAGGCAAACCTCATCACACCGCAGGTTGAGCAGCGATCAAATCGTCCCAACATAAGTGGAAAACTCTATGTGTTTCTCCGTCTTGTCTGTTGCTACAAGCTGTCATGTGCGATTGCCAACCCTTTGTTTCGCCATTTCAGAATGAGTGGGGCATGTAGTCAGACTGCACAACTCACCTTAACCTGACGCCATGGCGAGAAAAGATAATATGCTTCTGCTCTGTATGCGCTTTGTGCTCTGCAGGTTTCTTGTACAAATCCAAGCACTTGCCGTAGCTTTCGACACAAACTGCTAGGGCCCAGTTGAACTACTGCACTTCAAGCAGCTCTTGTGCAAGTCGATGGACGCTCATACAAGAGCAGGACTTACTCTAGGTGGAACTGTCCGTTCATGGTCTTGAGCAAACCAAGCTCCGTGACAAACTTGAGGAGAGTCAAGGTGCGATGAGAATGGCTCAGGTCCGTCAAGCTGGTCAACAAAGTACACGTCCACTTTAACACTACACTCGCATCAAGAGCAAAGACTGCATCGTTGGTTGGCAGCCAGCTCAGACAAGAACTTGCAAGTTGCTCTTTAGCCAACAATGCTTGACTGACACAGACTGAAGAATACACAAGAACTCAGCATCTGAGTCGCTAACTCCTCGCGAAATGCCTACCACACATCACACATCAGTTTTGACCAGATTAAAACTGCAAAACAACAAAAGGCCCAGGCTAACACATTGCAAACCCTTTCACCGCCTCCAGTTGTGAAGGGATGCTAGCAAGTGCTTCTATGACCTCAAGCAAAGCAAGAGTTCTCTCCAGCTTATCGGACTGCTCACAATTCTCCTCGCTCCTCGCTCCTCCGGGCCCCCAGACAGCTCCCGTCAGGTCAACACCTGAGTCGCTTCATCGCTTCATCTTTTTTTTCCCAGGTCAACACCTTTCAGCCTTTTGGCAGAATCTCTCAAGCCAAGATCTGACAGCAGGCACGAGCTCGTTGAAGGTTCAAGGATATGTCAGCAGTATCCAATCATGATCTCTAACTCCACCCACGGTTCTTTGCTGCTTTGTGAGCCAAGGTAACTGCAAACTCAAACAGTTCAAAAGTTAAATACAGTATGGTGCTGTGCATATGACACATACCTTCGGAATGTCCCCCAAGTACTGCGCCTTTGGTTGTGAAGGCTGCAGAAGCAGTTCCGGAAAAGTCTGGCTTTCTGAGAGCCTCCACGGAAGCCATGTCTTGTGAGTCTTACGACTGGAAATCAGATGCGATAAATGCTCCGATGCGCCACTCCGACGCAAAACTGTGCTCTTTTAACATGTTATCAGCTCTTTTCAAACTACATGTTAAATGGTATGACACGGCCATGTACGGTTGTGCTGCACACCTGCGAACCTGATCATTGCATTCTTGGTTTCAGGAAGAGATATATACTTTTGCCACACACACCTCTCTACATACTCAAGCTCCCATGGGTTTCAGGTCCACGAGAGCATTGAGGTAAGCCTCTGCATTGTCGCAGCTCAGCAGCGACAAATACCGCTTTACCTTGCCAGGCGCACTCCCGATGGAGTCATCAAGGGAATTAATGAATTCATGCTGTGTTCTCACGGAATGGTTGCTCATCCTATCATGACATTTGTTGTCCGGACAGCTGCTCGGCCTGCGCTTGTGTGGGAACTGGCGGCCTCGCATCTGGACCTCACCACAAACAAAGTCACTTCGTCACCTAGCTTGATGGTTCTGCTGCCCACCCATTCGGTCCAAACATGTAACAATGTAACAATCACAACAAGGTTGCAAATCTTGTCTGACCAGGTGGTAAAGAAAATTAATCATTTGACCAACAACTGCAAATAGCCTGTGGGAAAGCGTATGTGGAAACACTACCTTGCTTCAGGGCACATGGGCAAATACAAATGACACAGGTGCGCAGGACCAAACACGTCGCTTGTACAACCAACACGACGCAACCGAGTTTGTGGCGGATGAATCGCGGCGCCGCCTTGGGATCGGTCGGGGCCCCTCTCCACATTGTGCTTTGCAAATACGGCGACTGTCGATGAAGGGAACTTCGAAGGGGAATATACAGTCATTGATATCCAGGTCAATACCATTTCTTTTGCGAGGAGAGATCGAAATTCGCACAGAACTAGACAAGGCGTTGGCTGGTCAACAAGAAATGTGCAACGTGGAACTAGGCAAAGCAATGTAGCCATTTCTTTGGTTGTTGGCCGAAGAATGCACTCAATGCATCTACATAGTCTTTACCGTTATGGCATGTCACACCATACATGTGATGACTGAGTGCTCGGCCATGGCGACCAACTCTCCAAAAAGTTTGGACCAACGGCTGCAACAAATAGGTCAAGTTCTTGCCCACGTGTCAAATCAGACAAGCCGCAACATGGCAGCGCAAGTCTGGCAGTCAATCTGCGCAATGTGAACATGAATTCAAGACAAATTAGCCAAAGTTTCGTTACAGTAAATTTCCAGGCAGGGATGAAAAAGGGACCGGTTGTGTGCTTCAATTCACAGTTTTTTGACTATGGTTGCAGCGTTCTAAGGGGCACTCTCCTGAAATAGTCGTGGAGTGGAAAATGGCCCCTTGGAAGACGCCCGAGGTGCAAGCACTTGCTTGGCCTGTTTTCGAACCGTTTGCATGTTTATTCATGGAGTTGAGCGTGGTAGAGGTGTCTTTCCTCGGATACTCACCCAGGTTAGACTTACAATCCTCAACAAGGATGGTCGAGATCTTCCTTTGGCAAAGAGACTTATTGCTCTTCAAAGCGTCTTTACTCGGGCCTATACCGAATTGCGTTTTCGTCAGTTGCAGGCTTGGTCGCAGAAGTTTTTTCCGGTACAACTTGCCGGTGGTATCAAAAAATCGTTTTATGCAGGACGTACATATGGACCTTCAGCTTCAGATTGATCGAGCCCACACCTTTGGTTGGAGTTAAGTTAGACAAGAGCAAATGTTTCGACCGCCTTCTACCTTCCCTTTCTGCTGCACTTATGATTACATTTGGGCTCCCAGCCTTCCTTGCCAGAGGTTTCTTGGCTTTGTATACACCGATGCAACGCTTCATTTCATACAAGCAATGGACCCGGGCTACTCCCATCACCACAGCAAACGGTGTTCTTCAAGGCTGCAGTCTCAGTCTTCTTTGTATCAATTTACACATGGCAGTATGGATCTTCAGGCTTGAGAATATTACCTCCATCGCCTTTCGTGCATTCATCGATGACAGTTATCTCTGGACCTCCATAGTTCATCTCGCTGATCTTAAGGAGGCAGTTGATCGCACTGTTCACTGGGATTCCTTGTCTGGCCAATTCCTCAATCAGGATAAGTGTGAGATCTTTGCCACCGATACTCAATCCAGGAAGGATCTCCAAGCCGTCTTTCCGTCGATGAAATTGGCTGAGATTGTTGTGGTGCTTGGTGCTCGCCTACAAACTACCAAAAAGTGGCTGGCAACTTTCCGGATGAGAAGTTTGCACAAGTTGCCCGTGATTGTGTTGGTATTCGTACTCTTCCATGTTCTTCGCAAGTTAGAGCACATATCATAGCGGCGAAGGTGGTGCCACAACTAGCCTTCGCTCCACAGTTGATCTTCCTTCCGAAGAAAAAGCTTGAGAAGGTTCAAAATGCCATTGCGGAGACTTTGTGGAAGGATAGACCGTATTGGAAGTCTAAAGTTTTGCTGATCAGTGTTGTCTTTAAGAGCCATAGAGTTGAGCCTTTCATTGCTCGTGCCTATACTTTAATACTGGAGTGTGCCCGATTCTTGAAGCGTAATCGACCTGCTCGAGATCGATGGTGTGAGCTTTTCTATCGTGACAATCTTATGCCAAGTTCTTTAATGCAGCACTTCGCTCAAGCATGTGCTATTTTCTCCATCACGTGGGAAGATGCTTTCACCATTTCGTGTTTTGGATCTTGTCCCTTCTCCTTTGTTGGGATTCCCTTGAAGGATCTGAGATATCTTCTTCAGCAGCTTGCTGCAGACGGATGCTATGTCACCGCTGGGCGAACACCTCACAAGGACTTCAAAGTTCCGGTCGGTTTTTTGGATTTAAGATTGACTCGCTCAGCGCTGAAGGCAATTGATAAGATTCCAAATGAACCTTTTTCGCTGAGGTTACACTGGGAGTCCGCCATCACTGGTTGCACCATCACCAATGACCGTCTTGCGGCCTCCAAGCTTGTGGATTCCCATTTGTGTCGGTTTTACAATGCCGAAAAAGAATCATTGGCACCTTTTGCTTTTGAGTGTAGTGGTCTTCCTTCGTGTCTTTCCAGACCCATATTGCTTCCCAATTGTTGAAATTCCGTGGCAACATGTCGTGACAAACTCAAGCTTTCCAGCATGAATGACCTTTTGCGTGAATTATGGGTGGATCCTCTGCCTCAGCTTTCCCACTATTGGACTGATGGGTCAGTAATGCTGTCAGAAGCGCCTTGGTATTCACTTGGCAGTTGTGCTGCAATCGATTCAAATGGGTCCTTGGTCTTCGCTGATCGTGTTTACCATTTTTTTGCACGAGTGGAGACGCCATGTGTGCGGTGTGCACACGTCATCTTTTGCTAAAGCTTGAATCTCCGAGTTCTCAAAAGCGAAGGGAACACACCAAACAACCAAAACAAACCAACCAAACACAAACACAAACAAAAAACAACCAGCGAAAACATTGGAGTTTCATCTCTGTACATCAGAAGTGAGACATGGTGAAACGGGAACTTCGGCTGCTTGTTACTTGGGCCATGAATTCCAATTCAAGCTGCTAGTGAATGTTGGTTGGTTTCATGTGCGAAGAGGCATTGGGCGATCGGCCTGTGTGCGGACAGGCCAATGCACGAGCACTTGTTGGCGCGAGTGCTCTGATGCCAAGTTGCAGCTCACTGATGTTGAGCAGAGCCTTGGAAGTTCCTCAGGAGTTCAGCAAGTCAAGAGCTCGTTGGTCCATGAGCAATGAAGGTCTGGCCGTGGAAAACAGCCGGTCCTGGTCACTATTGTTCCAAGCGATAGCGAAAAGCAGGAAGAGCTGTGGCCTGCAGTGGGCAGTTTGCCTAAGGAGGTCATTGCTTTCAGGTACGCACTTATGGTGCCTAGCGAGGCTCCCTCCAAGAGAGGGAGCAGGTGTAGCACACCTCGAGCAGGCTCCTTAACAGCTAGGCCTACAGGAGCACAGCAGGTGTGCTAGGTGCTATCCTGACAGGATAACAATTCGACTCTTCTGCGG